GTGGCCCCTCTATAAACATAGTACATCCCTGAAGTCTACTCAAACAGTCTTTTATCTAAACCATTACAATAATCCAACAAAACTACTGTCGATTTCGCCCTACATCGATATCTTGTATACTTATTTATCATCTTTTCTTATAAATAGTCTACCTATAACTAAACCCCTTTTCTATACAAAGTTCAATCAAAGGCTCCCTTTATCATTTACTACCCTGGCACCCCAAACTTACCTACCACACCCTCTCAAAAAGTTTCTCCTACTTTAGCATTCAGGTCCCCTACCACAAGTACTCTCTCACTTGGTTCAAAGGCTCCTATACATTCACTTAACATCTCCCAAAATCTCTCTCTCTCCTCTGCATTCCTCTCTTCTCCAGGTGCATACACGCTTATTATGACCCACTTCTCGCATCCAACCTTTACTTTAATCCACATAATTCTGAATTTACACATTCATATTCTCTTTTCTCCTTCCATAACTGATCATTCAACATTACTGCTACCCCTTCCTTTGCTCTAACTCTCTCAGATACTCCAGATTTAATCCCATTTATTTCCCCCCACTGAAACTCTCCTACCCCCTTCAGCTTTGTTTCGCTTAGGGCCAGGACATCCAACTTCTTTTCATTCATAACATCAGCAATCATCTGTTTCTTGTCATCCGCACTACATCCACGCACATTTAAGCATCCCAGTTTTTATAAAGTTTTTCTTCTTTTTTTTAGTAAATGTCTACAGGAGAAGGGGTTACTAGCCCATTGCTCCCGGCATTTTAAGTCGCCTCATACGACACGCATGGCTTACGGAGGAAAGATTGTTTTCCCACTTCCCCATGGACAATAGAAGAAATAAAGAAGAACAAGAGCTATTTAGAAAAGGAGAAAAACCTAATTATGTATAAAAATATACATGTGCGGGCTGTGAAGTGGACCAAAGGTAAGTGGGAGTAGAAAGTATTCCTTTATCTAGCATTTTTTATGAGACAGAAAAAGAAAACAGCAATCCTACCATCGCAAAACAGTTACAGGTTTCTGTTCCACAGTCATCGGGCAGACGATATACTTCCCTGGTTGTTCTGTCTAAAAACCTCTACCTATATATATTTTTATATATAATATATATATAATATATTATATATATATAATATATTATATATAAATAAATATATAAATATTTTTAATATTTTAAAATAAAAATATATGTATAATATATAAATATATAATATAATATAAATATATTATATATATATAATATATATATATATATAATTTATATAAAATTTTAATTATAAATATATTTATAAAATAAAATATTATATAAATATATATATAATGTCTGCCGAATATGTAAAACTGGTCAATTAGAAAGAACTCTTTTAAAAATTTAAAGCCCCTTTCCAAAAATTTTCTCTTAACGTTTAAAGAATATTTTTTTCATTCATGTTTAAATAAAAATTAAATTTTTGCACCTAAAGAATCTTTGAAAACTTACCCAACCTTATTAAACAAAACAATTTTTTTAGCCTAACCCTCTAAAATATTTTAGATTTTTTTTACAATAATTTAATACAAAACAAACACAGTGAAATATTTTTTTTTATCGTTAGGTTCAGAATGATTTTGGCAAAATTTATTGCATCACAAATTTTCACTTGCCCTATAGGGAAAGAGCGTTGCATTTAAGGCCAAGATGGCAAGTTCTGCCTATTCGGCACGACAAAAATTATGGGGGGTAAGTCTTTTTGAGGTCCCTTAAAGTGAAATGGAGAGTTGTTATTAAAAGAATTAAATGAACTAGGAGGCTTGGGAAAAAGGTAGGGGTTTTTGGACCAGGTTTACAGTGAAACATATAAGTAACAGTATTTAAAAAGGAAAAAGGGGCTTTGGGGCATTTAAAGGGGTTTTGGGAAAAAGGGGCGTTGAGGGGGTGGATAGGGGGGCAATGTGGCAGAGTTCGGGTGTATGGGTGGAGGAGGTTACTGAAAGCTGAAGATTTTTTACGGGGATAGGAGTAAAGTTAGAGTATGGGGAAAGAGGAAATTTTTTCCAGTAAAAGTAGGCCTTAGACAAGGATGGGGGGTGTCACTGTGTTGTTCAAAATTTAAGAGGGGGGTTGTAAGAGAATAAATGCGAGGGTTTGACAAAGGCGGGGGAGTTAAAAATAAAGAAAAAACACAAAAGGGGAGTTGTCACAGTTGCTCTTTCTGATGCACTGTGCTCTTGGGAGATTCTGAAAAAGTTGCAGGGGTTTGGGGATAATTTTGTACGTATGCAAAAAAGAAAATTAAAAGGAATACAGGAAAGAGAAAGGTTATGAGAAAAAAAAAAATTTATGATGAAAAAATTGGGTTCAGATTGGGGGAGAGGTATGGAGGAGGTGAATGATTCAGATATTTTGGGGGGGGGACGTGTCAGGATGGGTCATAAAATGAGGTGAATCATAGAAAAAGAGAGGGGGAAAAAGGGGGGTGGTTCACTTTGGGGCTGTGGAGAGAAAAACTTTGTCCTGGAGGCAAAAAAGGGGGAAAGTATAAGTATATTTTAACCCAAAGCTCTTTTATGGGTGGAAGCATGGGGGAGAATGTTGCAGCGAGGAAAGGCTGGAGGCAGGGGATGTCATGTCTGAGGGCAAAGGTGGTTGGGTATAATCAGAGAATTCGAGTTTGGAATTAAGGGTGCAGGTTACCAAACCCGTTTCCCGAGGGCGAGGAAGGTTTTTGAGGTGGTTCGGACATGTAGAAGAATGAAGCGAAACAGAATGTCTTCAAATGTATCAGTCTGTAGTGGGAAAGGAAGGCGTGGGGAGGGTCGGCCTCTAAAGGTTGGAGAGAGGGGCTAAAGGAGGTTTTTTGTGCGAGGGGCTTGGACTTCCAGCGGGCATGCGAGATCGTGTTTGATAGGAGTGAATGGAGACAAATGGTTTTTAATACTTGACGTGCTGTTGGAGTGTGAGCAAAGTAACATTTATGAAGGGACTCAGGGAAACTGGCAGGCCGGACTTGAGTCCTGGAGATGGGAAGTACAGTGCCTGCACTCTGAAGGAGGGGTGTTAATGTTGCAGTTTAAAAACTGTAGTGTAAAGCACCCTTCTGGCAAGACAGTGACGGAGTGAATGATGGTGAAAGTTTTTCTTTTTTCTGGCCACCCTGCCTTGGTGGGAATCGGCCAGTGTGTTAATTAATAATAAATTAATTCTCGCTTCTGTATCTCGGTATGTACTGGTCAGATTTTTTTTTGTTTTATTACCTTCACAAAATATACTCTTTAATTCTGTAAGAAAAAATAATTTTTTTTTTTTCAAAATTTCTTGGACACTGGGGCACCCTTTCCTATTTTGCCTCTGGACCCTGAAAGAGCTAAACGCACATCTTCACTAATAAAGGCACATCTTCACTACTAAACTCACATCTTCACTAAGAAACACACATCTTCAGCACTAAAGGCACATCTCAAATATGAAACACACATCTTCACTACAAAGCGCACATCTTCACTTATAAACGCACATCTTCACTATGAAACACACATCATCACTACTAAACACACATCTTCACTTCTAAACGTACATCTTCACTACTAAACGCTCATCTTCACTAATAAACGCACATTTCAACAATGAAACACACATCTTCACTACTAAAGGGATATCTTCACTACTAAAAGCACATCTTCACTTCTAAACGCACTTCTTCACTAATAAACGTACATCTTCACTACTAAACGCTCATCTTCACTAATAAACGCACATTTCAACTATGAAACACACATCTTCACTACTAAACGCATATCTTCACTACTAAAAGCACATCTTCACTACGAAACGCACATCTTCACTACTAAACGCACATTTTCACTATGAAAAGCACATCTTCACTACTAAACGCACATCTCCACTAAGGAACGCACATCTTCAGTACTAAACGCACATCTCCACTAAGGAACGAACACCTTCACTACTAAACACTCATCTTCACATACAAACGCCCATCTTCACTACCAAGTATACATCTTCACTAATAAAGGCACATCTTCACTACTAAACGCACATCTTCCCTACTAAACACTCATCTTCACATATGAACGCCCATCTTCACTACTAAGTATTAAACATCTTCACTAATAAAGGCACATCTTCCCTACTAAACACTCATCTTCCCTACTAAACACTCATCTTCACATATGAACGCCCATCTTCACTACTAAGTATACATCTTCACTACTAAACGCACGTCTTCACTAAGAAACAGATACATCTTCACTGTCATACACTCACATGCACATATTTACCATTACACTGAGAAATACATATTCGTAATTCAGTGTAACAAGTTAGTGTTCCAAGGGTGACCGAAACGCCGTCACAAGTTTCTTTTCTGTTGTTGCTTAAATCAAGTTCGTTAACAACGTTCAATATTTACAAAGTTGTAAATAAAATAACTTCAGTTCCAGTTAAGCAACTTTTTCGTAAATGTGATAATAACAGTAACTTCGTTAAGGGAATAACTTAGAAAATAACTTTAACAAAATGAGTAATTTGATGAAGTAAATTCTGTTGGTATCGATAATCATCCTCATTGTAGATGTTATCTATATATCCGACGTGAGATAAAGCATCGAACAAGCGAATTATTAGATTCGTTTGAGAATTCAGGACGCATTCAAGCCCAGTTGGCTACGAACTACCAGACTGAGCACCTGGTTGTTGGGACCCAGAGACCCCCTCTTCGGCGATGACTACAGAGACGATACCAATGTCGTCAATTTCTTCGTTTTGCAGGAACTGGCAGAGAAGAGGGGATTAAGCCTTAGTGGTATTAGGAAACCATCAAAAAAGCTTATTGCCCTTGCCCTACTTACCTTGCCTGTGTAAATCATTATTTTGATAGTTGTCCTCTACAACCTTATTATGGATCTGTGTAATAAATAACAGAGGAAGGACAATCCCAAGGCGAGCGAGGACGAACTCTTGTAGGGTGAAAACAATCTTGAGGTTTCTTAGGCCAAGACCGCACCGGAATCCAAGGAGTCGCCCGAAGAGTCGCCTGAGGCCGAACCCGAAAAGTCGCCAGAGGTCGAACCCGAGGAGTCGCCCGAGGCAGAGGCCGTGCCCGAACCCGAGGAGTCGCCCGAGGCCGAACCCGAACCCGAGGAGTGGCACGAGTCTGGGGCCGAACCCAAACCCGAGGAGTCGCCCGAGTCTGGGGCCGAACCCAAACCCGAGGAGTCGCCCGAGGCCGAGCCCGATCCCGAGGAATCGCCCGAGGCTCAGGCTGAACCTGAACCCAAAGAGTCGCCCGAGGCTGAGGCCGAACCCGAGGAGTCGCCCGAGGCCGAACCCGAACCCAAACCCGAGGCTGAGGCTGAACCTGAACCCGAACCCAAGGAGTCACTCGAGGCCGAACCCGAACCCGAGGCTGAGGCTGAACCTGAACCCGAACCCAAGGAGTCACTCGAGGCCGAACCCGAACCCGAAGAGTCGCTTGAGGCCGAATCCGAGGAGTCGCTTGAAGCCGAGGCCGAGCTCGAACCGGAAGAGTCGGCCGAGGCCGAACCCGAACCCAAGGAGTCGCCCGAAGTCGAAGCCGAACCTAAATTCGAGGAGTCGCCCAAGGCTGAGGTCGAACCCGAACCCGAGGAGTCGCCCAAGGCCGAGGCCGACCCGGAACCGGAAGAGTCGCTCGAGGCCGAACCCGAACTTGATGAGTCGCCCGAAGCCGAGGCCGAACCAAAACCCGAGGAGTCGTCCGAAGCCGAGGAAAAACCCGAACTCGAGGAGTCGCCCGAGACCGAGGCCGACCTCGAACCAGAAGAGTCGCCCGAGACCGAGGCCGAACCCGAACCTGAGGAGTCGCCCGAAGCCGAGGCCAAACCCGAACCCGAGGAGTCGCCCGAGGCCGAGGCCGATCTCAAACCGGAAGAGTCGCCCGAGGCCGAACCCAAACCTGAGGAGTCGCCCGAAGCCGAGGCCGAAACAGAACCCGAGGAGTCGCCCGAAGTCGAGGCCAAACCCGAACACGAGGAGTCATCCGAGCCCGAGGCCGACCTCGAACCGGAAGAGTCGCTCGAGGCCGAGGCCGAACCCGAACCTGAGGAGTCGCCCGAAGCCGAGGCCGAACCAGAACCCGAGGAGTCCCCCGAAGCCGAGGCAAAACCCGAACCCGAGGAGTCGCTCGAGGCCGAGGCCGACCTTGAACCGGAAGAGTCGCCTGAGGCCGAGGCCGAACCCGAACCTGAGGAGTCGCCCGAAGCCGAGGCCGAACCCGAACTCGAGGATTCACCCGAGAACGAACCCGAGCCCGAGGTGGACCAAGGGACAGTGTCACCCCAGGAGGAAGAGAGGATAGTGGCACTGCAGGAGGGCCAGGGGACAGTGTCACCCCATGAGGGCCAAGGGACAATGTCACACCAGGAGGACCAAGGGACAGTGTCACACCAGGAGGACCAAGGGACAGTGTCACACCAGGAGGACCAAGGGACAGTGTCACACCAGGAGGACCAAGGGACAGTGTCACACCAGGAGGACCAAGGGACAGTGTCACACCAGGAGGACCAAGGGACAGTGTCACACCAGGGGACCAAGGGACAGTGTCACACCAGAGGACCAAGGGACAGTGTCACACCAGGAGGACCATGGGACAGTGTCACACCAGGAGGACCAAGGACAGTGTCACAACCAGGAGGACCAAGGGACAGTGTCACACCAGGAGGACCAAGGGACAGTGTCACACCAGGAGGACCAAGGGACAGTGTCACACCAGGAGGACCAAGGGACAGTGTCACACCAGGAGGACCAAGGGACAGTGTCACACCAGAGGACCAAGGGACAGTGTCACACCAGGGGACCAAGGGACAGTGACACACCAGGAGGACCAAGGGACAGTGTCACACACCAGGAGACCAAGGGACAGTGTCACACCAGGAGGACAAGGGACAGTGTCACACCAGGAGGACCAAGGGACAGTGTCACACCAGGAGGACCAAGGGACAGTGTCACACCAGGAGGACCAAGGACAGTGACACACCAGAGGACCAAGAGACAGTGTCACACCAGAGGACCAAGGGACAGTGTCACACCAGGAGGACCAAGGGACAGTGTCCACACCAGGAGGACCAAGGGACAGTGTCACACCAGGAGGACCAAGGGACAGTGTCACACCAGGAGGACCAAGGGACAGTGTCACACCAGGAGGACCAAGGGACAGTGTCACACCAGGAGGACCAAGGGACAGTGTCACACCAGGAGGACCAAGGGACAGTGTCACACCAGGAGGACCAAGGGACAGTGTCACACCAGGAGGACCAAGGGACAGTGTCACATCAGCAGGACAATTTGGAGGGGATGGACACATCCAGTAAACATTCCTCACTGTTAAACAAAGTTGTTAATGTGGCACTTTGTGCTTATTCAGTGTTTCTCATCCCTGTTGCACTGACATTGTTCAGCGTGTGA